AAGCAAAGTGTTTATAACATAAAACTTTTTAAAGGATCGATCAATAAAAGTCTTTAGTTAGAGTATAGTTTCCGTTATTTGGAGATATCGTAACCCGAAATTGGAAATTATATGGAAAACGATGAAAGATAAGTGTTTCTTCAAAGTTTTCAAATTTTATATTTTTAACAAGGGAAAAATGAGCTTGTACAAATACAGTAGTAAGTTGATCATATATCAGAGACCGGTTTTCTATTTGATAGTCATAAAAATTAATCCATAATTTTTTATTGAAACAATGACAGTTCACGAAGAATTCCACGCAATTCACGAAATTTTCCAATTTATTATGGCTTAATGAAAGAGATACATTTTCACTCAGTTTTGACGAAATTTTCTCTCTAATCATATGAAAAGGAAAATTACTTAAGGAAATTGAACGTAATATCCAGCGATTTTCCATAAATTTCATGATTTCATGGTTAAGCTGGACAGAAATTTCATTTGATACCCTGAAGATAATACATCTATTTACTTGAAGCATATCAAATATTGAAAGAAGTGCTCCCAAGATGTCCGAGTTTATATTGGTTTGAATAAAATCGAAATTAATTTTTCGTAAAGGCATTCCCGGTTTAACGGGTAAAAACTTATGAACATCAAATTTTATCGTGCTTGTTTCAATTCCATAAATTTCAATACATTGTATATGTAAGTCAGCAAAATGTGCAAGTTTCCGAAAAATTCGTCGGTGAAGTGGATATTTTCTATTCATATTGTACCAGTATTGCGCAGATTGTATTGTACCAGAATAGTTTAGTTTAAAAAAAAATGTCTTCCACAATTAAAAAAATCATTGACAAGCCAACATACGATTTTACGCAAATTTCTCTCTGATCGGCCACGATTTGACCATTGCCTCTCTCGATTTGTACGTTTACCAATGGTACAAAGATCAGTTCGAGATTTGACGAAATTGGTCCAGAAAATAGAATAAATGAACGTAGATCGTGATTTACTTTTAATAATTGAAGTGCTTGAAAAACTTCCAATTTTTTTATAATTGGAGTTTTGAGAAAATGTGGTAACCAAATAAATTTTTTCCCAGTCATTAATTTCTTGATCCGATACTCAAATAATGAATTTGATGATAAAACATGCAATAAAAATGATTCCACTAATTTTCAGACAAAAATAATTGAGGTTATATTTTGCTGAGGTCATATAAATTTTACATCTGCCCCATACACTTTGAGCACATAAGCACCCTTCTCAACTAAAATTAAAGATCAAAAATAGAATTGAATCGATTAAATGACGCATTAAATCTCCGACTAAACAATAGCGAGACTTTTCTCTTTTACAGGTAGAAACCTTTTGACTGTCATTTACGGACAGGTTTAATGCGTTATTTTCATAAATTATAAAAAAACTTACCTTTTAAAGCACGCAACTTCATCTCGAAATCAGACTGAAAGTACAAAGTCATCGTAGGATGGAAGAATCTACATCTACATCTACAATTTTTTGATATTGAGCTTAAGAAAACAGGCACGACAAAATTTCATGTTTATAAGTTTTTACCCGTTAAACCGGGAATGCCTTTACGAAAAATTGATTTCAAACTTATAGAGAATTCCATCAAAATCAATAAAAATCCGAACATTTTGCGAGCACTTCTCTCAATATTTGATGTGCTTCAAGGAAATATATGGATTAGCTTCTTTGTATTAAACGATGTTTCTGTTCAGATTAACCATGAAATCATGAAATTCATAGAAAATCGCTGGATATTAGGTTTAATTTCTTTAATTAATTTTCCTTTTAATATGATTAGAGAGAAACTTTCAACAAAACTGAGTGAAAATGTATCTCTTTCATTCAGGCTTCTGAAAAGCTTCAGGCCTGAAAGGCTTTCAGCACTGAAAAGCTTTGATTACTGTAAGGCTTTCAGGCCTGAAAGGCCTTCAGGACTGAAAACGCTTTCAGGCCTGAAAACGATCGGAGAAAGGTTAATAAGTTCGGGCTTTTTATTAACCTTTCTCCGATCGGAGAAAGGTTAATAAATTCGGGCTTTTTATTAACCTTTCTCCGACGCTTTCAGTACTGAAAAGGCTTTCAGTACTGAAAAGCTTTGATTACTGTAAGGCTCTCAGGCCCGAAAGGCTTTCATTTTATTCTGCATTGATTGATAATTTAAATAGTCAAAATCGATGGATTGGCGCCGAGAAAAACACGAAAAACTTTAAAAAAACGGCAAAAAACGGATCGACTGATGCTTTTGTTACAAATCTATTGCACGCCTGAGCGCGACTGGTTGCCCGGTTTCGGGAGCGGCCGTCGCCGCGTGTCTGGCGCCCTCATTCACGTGACGATCAATCAAAAGAAGCGTCTAGAAAATTGTTTTCAGATGTTTTGGAAAAAAAATTTTTAAGGAAAAAAAGTCCGGTTTTTTTTTTGTAAATCCTTTAAAAACACTTTTCTGGACGTAGTTTTAGCCGAGGAGTTCGAATCCATCGCAAAAAGCGGGGCTCACCCAACAAAAAGTACTTTTTTTCCTTAACAATTGTGCTATTGTTCAGCGGAGGCTGATCACTCTTCTCTTTTCCGCCATATCTTCATTTCCAGTTGATCGATCAACTTGTGGTTGCTCTTAAGATGTTCCTTATAAAATTTGGTGCTAAAAATTCACAATCTCCTTAGTAACTTTAAGACAAAAACATAAGAAAAATCTTGGCCAAAGTTGGACTAAATTCCTGTTAACAGGAATTTGCCTTTGGGCATAACGTCAAGGGGGTAAGTCCGAAAAAAATCCGTTTAAAGAGACTTTGACGACTTTAGTCTTTCTTTAATAGGATTCTTTGAACTCTTCAAAACTAGAAATTCAAGAGAACTAGATACAAGTCTATGGTAGTTTTAGAAAGCCTAGCAGCAACCGGGATAGTTCAACTTAAAATCAAAACCCAGAATCCATTTCCACTCAATCATCACAAACCACTTACACTCGTTGTCCACTAATCAGTGCACTCCCTTTCACCTCGATCTTGGGTTGGTCTTTAGAATTTGTGTTCAAAAATTTCAGGATCAACCAGATAAATCGAAACTTTTGTTATCAAAATTTTTCGACTTTTCGACTTAAAGACAAAGGAAGATGAAGAATTATGATAAAAAATACTTTTCTAAGGTTGATTTTTGATGGAGAATCCGAATATGCCCTTAAAAATAGGGGTTTGCTGAAAGAAAGTACCAATTTCCGATCAGTCCCCCCTGATCTGATCAGAGGGGACTGATCTGAAAGTCGTACTTTCTCTAAATGGGTCGACCCGGTGCCGGAAAAATAGCTGTCTTATCGTTCAATGATTTTTATCGAATTTTTCTGACAAAATCACATTTATTTCCATATAAAAATGGTTTCTCTTATTCAAATTCCTTTTACAAGCTTGTGGGCCGATAAAAAAAAACAGGGTGTGACGCAGGACACTTCCCGGCGGCGCATCACGGGCTAGCACATCAGCAATTTGATTTTCCTCATGAAATCCCATTGTTTTCCCTCAAATCGTAATAAAAACGATATTTTTCTTTGTTTATTTCCTCAATTCCAATTGACTCGTGATAATTAAAAAGTGAAGCGATTTGTGTCTCTGGAACTACCGCAATCCTACACAATTTCCCCTTTCTTTTCCCTTTTATGCTAATCCCTCATTTATTCACTTGTTTACCACCCTCGTCTCAATCAATTTTTTTGGTTTTTTTGCCTGATTTCGTGGGATAAGTCTGTCGAATGGATTCTTGGCATATAAAGATGTAAACAATAATTTTGACTTGATATTTATTGATATTTTGATATCTTTAATTTTGGATATTTATGGAGATAAAAGCACAAGATTTTTTGATTTCCAAAGATTTCAAATTTCCAAGGTATTCAACTTTTAAACTGCGTTCCAGAATGTCCAAAAATCTTGTGGTTTTCAATTTTTCTCTTCAAGATCACAACTTCCTCTCCTTCCAAGAATTTCTATGGTCAAAAGGAGATAATCTTTAAAGATATTTTTTATCAAAAATTCCCGCATTTCTCTCATTATCCACCCAATCGAAAACACTTCTCAGTCATTATTTTTGTTATTTTTCCGAGTAAACTCTATTTTGAAAAGCTTAAAAGAGCCTAAAGAAGCAGTCTGTGAAATCTGTGAATTACAATTAAGATTATCAGAACAAAGATTATATTATTCTATTTTAGTTTAGCCAAAAAAAGATTCAAATTATATCAAATCCATATAAAGGAAAAAGATTAAGTCAAGAGTCACGCATAATAAAATTTGAAGTTTGAAGAGTTGCTTGTATATCCTTTTCCTCATTGAATAAAATGTTAGGGCATTAGCTGAATATCCTTAACATCTTGCAAAACTATAAAGTGGCACTTTTGGGGAGAATTTTTTATCGTTTTGTTGTTGGAAACCTGTCCCTTCTGTAAAACATTCAAAATCTCAGGAATTTTGGGATATTTTGGCGATTTCGCCAAAATTCACCAAGTTTAACACAATTTTGGGTCACTTTCGTTCGCGATCAAAATTAATGTTTACGATTCCTTCACAATTTCCTCTTCGCACCAAATTGCGAGTGTGTTTATTGCTTTTGCCTTTTTTTGACGCTTTTTAAAAACTTTTACAAAGTTGTTTTGTGTTTTGTGGTTCAAACGGTATCATTTTAAGATTTACAGACTCCTAAGCCTTGTAAACCTTAGTAAAGATGCTTCCTGAACATCGCGTTTTGAAAAATCCATCAGAAACGCGTTTCATTAAGTTTCATTTCGAACCTCATTTCTCATTTGATAGTGTTTTTAAAGCTTAAATTTGCTTTAACTTTTGATATTACTTGATATTATCGACCCATTTCCTTCAGTTCGCATAATATTGTTATTTTTAGAATTCGGTGCTCGGACGTTCTAGGAGAATTGCATTGTCGGTCTCGGACAACACGTTTCCGCTGTGAATGCCCTCGTCGGCGCAGTCAACTTGTTCGGGATGTTATTCGTGGTAAGGCTTTGAAATTGGCGCTATATCAAATCTAATCTAACAATTATGTTTATTAAGCTGAAACCTTATCAAGAAAAGGATATTATTTGCTGTGCTAAATGTTTTGAAGTCAAATTTGGTGCTTATGTCGTGTTGCTTTGTCAACTCATTAACAGTTTTTCGCTTGTTTGATTTTGGATCGTGATAGCTGTTCCATGTATCGTCATGATTTGAATTACAGTGAATAATCTGGTCGAAATGAGCAGATTTTGGTGCTGTAAAGGTCAAGCTATGTCGAATCATGCTTTAATTGAACATTTTGGTTAAAGCTTTGACATTTTTATATTATGTTGGTTGCTAACGATCAATATTTAATTTGATCTAGTATACTTTTAATATGTTTATTTTTGGAGAATGGCCACACTCCACTCGACATCCTCACCTGTCAACAGCCTCATTTCACTCCCGTAGGACTCCAATTGGCGATCGATTTCATGCATTCACGCGCAATTCGAGTGCAATTTCATAAGGTTTTTTAAATTGTTTATGTGCGTTATTTGAAGTTAATCTAATAGGTGCTATTTGTTTTTACATCATTGAAAATTCCCTTTTTAGTTAACGGATGCAATGGCGGCTGCGCACGCTCGGGGAATATCGGATATGATGCACGCGCTTGAGCTCAAGGTACATTCATGTGCAAAAGTCTTTTCACCTCCCCTTTTCTAGGAAAGTTCATCAAAATTTTTGGATAAAAGCTATACTTTTCTTTAGGTCTGTTATAGTTTAGTTACACCAATATGTGTACAAATTATTTACCTAAAACTGGCCGCTATATAGCCTCTGTTCCTTCGGAAAGAAACGAGCAGAGTCAAAATGCTCCTGAAAAACGTGGTGCAAAAGGCCTTTCACATTATGTTAATCTTTTCATATTTCTCAGCCAATTAATTTTTTCAAATTTTTTTTTGTTTTATTTCATCTTTGTTAACTCTAATCTAATAGAAAAACTCAGAACAGCGTTTGAGATTTTGGAAACTGGAAATGGAAATGGAAAATCTGGAGATCCAGCGATTCTTGTCGTTTTTTCGGAATGAACAGAAGTTGGATAGCGGCCACTTTTATGTAAATAAATTGTACACATATTGGTGTAACTGAAACTATAAATGACCTAAAGAATGGTATAGCTTTTATCCACAGATTTCGACGAACTTTCCTAGAAAATAGAAACAGTCCTCGATTATTGTATTTGACCACGGAATTAAGCGCTATCTTGCCACCACTGAAAGGCATGTTCTTGAAAAAATACAAGCGAAAAGAGCTGGTCTACCGAATTTTGGACTTACATCCTGAATCCTGAGGTTTTCGCGGTGGTGCTTGTCGCCTACAAATATGAACCATTCATTGAAAGGGGGCTACTTGGACGATTGTACGGACTAATTGCTGATGGGAAAAAGAATATTTGAGTTAAATAAATCGTTTAGCAAAAAGCCACAAAATCTTAAGGTTTTAGCCTTTAAATCTTTGAACAATTTTATCTTTAGGAGGTGATCGAGTTTGCTGTCGATGAATTGCCGCCGATGTTGTACGAGATGTTGGATATTTTGCGACAAGAAAGGGCATTGTTGGGTCGATGCTGCGGTAAGAGTTTAAAAGTTTACATAGTTAGCAAATATTTTTTGTCGCTGAACTTTTTGGGGATCTTATTAAACTTTAAAAGTTTAAAGTTTGATTCAAAACAGTTTTGACGATGATTCTTTTACGAGAATAACTTGTCACATGTCTTTTATAACTCTCATCTTTAGGTTGGATCACATTGAAGGTAGAAATGATGAATTCATCAGATTGCTGGAAACTGCAGGAGGTAGATTAAGCAATTAAGTGATTTGAAATTTCTAATTTAGGTGATGCCTTTCTCGACTACCCGGGAGTTGAGAAAGACCAGATAAGAGGTCTCGACGCGTTAGCTGTTTTTTATGTGCAAGAGGTTTGTTTATTTTTACTTTTAACCTGATTCAAACAGTCTTATGCTAAACTTTTTTGCTTTAGGGACATCGAGAAGGGGCAAACAAGGAAAGACACAAGGAATGTTTCGTGAGTTTATCCAGTTCTAATCGGAAGTTTAAGGAATTTGATCGAGTCGAGAAATTGGCTTGGCACGCTTTCCACGTGGCTCTCCATACGATCAGAGCTGAGAGTTCATTTCAATTAGGACGATGCTTTCATTATCAGAAGAACTACGAGAAAGCTTTTCGGGTATTCTATAAATGTAAAACTTCAATACGTTTATTTAGCATTATTATCCAACGGCCCAATACGCTTGATCGCATTTTGTCCTTCCACAAGCCCGCCAACCCTCGGGTCAAATGTGCTCCATTCCGCCCAATCTCGGTAAAGAATTTGGTTATGGAAATCTTTAATCAAAAAGTAGTATTTGTTACTCATTTGCATAATTTAGAAGCCAAGATTGATTCCCGAGCGCGTTTCTGCGCCTCCAACGTTGCCTCAAACAGCCGTTTCACCCTTACATTCGCAACTTCCTACAGATAATGAGTATGTGATTAGATTTTTTGAAGTGTTTACTATCTGTTTTTAGTGAAATTTGCATCATGGACCTGCCTCATCCTGTAACATCGAGTGGCACTCGGTAAGAGACTTTTAAAAGTAACTTCGCTTTCGTTAACGAATTATTTTTAGACCTGAGCTCGTTCATCCGGCAACAGCAACTCGTGCATCGACCAGTGATCCAATTTTAGCCAACATCCAAGGACCACTAACCGTTCGGACACGCCATCGCATGGGACGCCAGCCTCAAAGTGGAGACATTTTTGTAGAAGAGGTAAGTTTTTAAGTATAAAAGTATGTAGTATGTTGCCGACTTTTATTTAGACGATTGACATCCTTGGCGCCAACGATCCATCAGCAACAGTGGAATAAGTGAAGGGACGACCGATTCAGCAAGGTGCTCGTGATTTCAAGGTGAATTCATTTCCAGTGGAACTTTGGTTGATATTAATGCTTAGGTTAACAATGAGAATGGCAAAAACAGCCCGAGTGTTGGTGGAGAAGCAGTGATCGCAGCGGGAGTCGCTCAACTTCAGTTTGCCGTTCAGCTTCCCGTCAAGGACCTCTCGATTTCACCTGGGTGAGTGACTTATAGACTTGTCTATGATTTTTTGTTAAGTCATTAACGGTAACTAAATCATTGAAGTGATATACGAAATGAGAAGTTTAAAAAGATTATCCTAACGGTAGTCAAATTTATCTTGTAACAGAAGTTTTTTTTTCATTCCAGTCATGATTCGGAAATTTTTAGGATCAACAATTCACTACCACTCAAGATGCCCAACCAATTCTCGTCGATTTTACTCAAAGGCCTTCGGAGGGTAAGTAAATTTTTTGCAACCTTTGATATTTTTAAAATTTTAGTCCAGTCGATCAACGCCATAACTAAAAATGATTTGACGGGACCGGTGAACATTGCCTTACACTTGAATTCGACTCGAGGTGAAGAGACGCCCATTACGACTACCACTCAAAAAACTGCTCAACCACAAGCGGCACCACCATCCAACTGCAATGTTCAACCTCAGCAAACACTCTTGTTCGAAATGCAATCGAAATTCGTTTTGGAGTGTCAAAAGCCCTTCCTACTACGGTCAATTTTTTGTTTGCTTTATTGGGCAGATTATATGAGTTGTTCTTTGCTAATGTAGCCGTTATTAATTGTAACAAAGGCTAAACTTGTCTGTTATAGGAATTGCGCAAGAAGGTGCCCAGCCTGGCGAAGAACCTCGGTCATCCACAGATTCGTGAACGCGTCTTTTACGGCGATGGAGTGATTCGTTTGGACCGAGACATGCTTATTCGCCCTGAGGTCCTGTTGTATTGCTTGTCCAGTTACAAAGTTCTCTTTTAGGATGGTGTCGGAGAAATGAAGGAAGACGTACGCACATATGACTTCGTTCCAGCGACTCTTCCGGCAATGGGTGAACGACGCTTCTCGATGGCCCCATACACGGAAGTGTCCGGCGGCTTTCCATCACTCTTGAATATCCACGGCGAACGTGCTCGGTGGGTTTGAGTTTAAGTGTCATTTTTCAATTTCATTTTCTTGCTAGTTGATAAGCTAATGTTGAATATTTAGCACAAGATCGCCTATCGTGAACGCTCGAGTGAGCACTGGAAGGTACGTTTTGGCCGTTTGGTTCAAGTCCAATTAATTTTTTTAGTACGAGAAGCAGCAGCACCTCCTCGTTGGCTACGGCAATTACATATCGAGCAGACGGTCCAATGTGGGTATTTTAACATTGATACTTTTATAAGGAAATAGGTTTCCTTGGGCATGCATAATTTTATGCACTTGTATGATTCGTTTTTGTTACAGGAATCGCACATCGATTTGCCCAACAGCCTCCTCACCTTCTGTGCAAACGGCTCGTTCCCGTGAAAGTTCGTTGTCGGCAACAAGGTTTTGTTTGTTTTCAAAACTAAGAATATTATGTCAATCCCCCATTCGATCGTTTACTTCGATGGTTTACTTTAATAACTTGTTGTCCTTTCAGTGGTCGCTCATCTCGTTCCAAGCTTCAAATAGCGCCATCCAATCAGAAAAAAGTGTCTGCTCGAACGGGTGTCTCAATGAATCGCCTTGAAAGGGCTCAATCGACACCGCCTCCATTTGTTTCAAGACAACAACCTGCTAAAACATCTACGGTAAGATCGAATTACTCGTCTGGCGAACTAATTTGTTTCCTTTAGGAAGTATCATCTTTGGAGAGTTCTGCTCTAGTAACGGCTCAACCTCCTTCAAGTGGAATTTCAATGGAGGGTTTGTTTTTAGATTTATAAATAAATCTTACAATTTATTTACAAACTATTAGGTTGATGCATAAGTCTTTTTGTTCCTTTTCGTCTGCCGTTTCAAGCCAACAAATGCACCAATTAAACTACGGTTGATTTCATTAGAAAAACCAATTATTTTCCTGCAAAATAACATTAAAACGGGTTTAAAAATATTTTATGCCTGGATTTTCTTGAGAGTATGAAGTCGGGTAGTCAAAAAGGGCTAACTCGATCATGCGGTTTAGACACCTTAGCTAAAGAAAACCTTTTTTTCGAGATCTAAGAGTCAAACACCAATTAATTTGCATCCAAAATCAATTTTATTGAATATCCAGGTAAGAAATATATTAGTATCTATATTATTTTATATTATTTTATTTTTTGGAAAATTTACCCTTAGGCGCTAAAGCTCGGGAAATTTCAGCATTCCTCGAGCTTTAGCGCCAAGATTAAAAAATCGATTAAAAAAGAATTAACGCTAATCAAACAATTGCACCATTGACGTTTTGTGGGGAGGTATCAGGGGCTAGAGAGCATGCAGCAACCTTAGAGTCACGTGGCTCTAAGGTTGCTGCATGCTCTCTAGCCCCTGATACCTCCCCACAAAACGTCAATGGTGGTTTATGCGCTAAAGAAAGAAATAAAGAAAAAAGGCGTTTTTCACTCTCGAATTTGCTTGAAAGTGAACCGAAATTGATTTAAAAAGATGGAAATTGAACAAAAAAACACTTTTTTTTATAGAGCAAACTATAGATTAATTGGTGAATTTGTTACTTTTTAACAGAAGTACGAAAAAAACGAAAAGACTTATGCATCAACCTATTACAAACGGAGTTTTAAATTCAAAAGAAATTAACTTAAAACATTCAAGAGAACAAAATGTAGCTTTTTTTAATAATGATACTTTATATGAAATTACTAAAAATCAAGTAGCTTCTACAGGACAAAAACAATGATGAAGTTTCGAATATTTTATGAATAAAAAACCAAACGCTTCTATTTTTATATTTGATGAAGCTAATAACGGATTAGATGTAGAACACGATAAATTATTTGAAGAAAAAATTGAAGAATTAAATAAAAAAGGAAAAATAGTAATTTGTATAAGTCACAAAGTAAAAACTTAATAAATAGATGGCAACAATAAATCAACTTATATCAGGTTTGAGAAAAAAAACAAAAAAAAGTTAAGAATGCGATATTTGAAATATAGATGAAATTCAATTCACAGCGAATATCGTAGAATTGACGCTCCTCAAATAAGCGGAATAGTAAAAGCTATTAAAAAATTTAATCCAAATAAACCTAACTCTGGTATTAGAAAAGGAGGAACTGTAGCTCTTTCTAATAAATATTTAGTTAATTTTGCTGTTAGAGGTCAAACTAGTCCAAGCTTAGGAGTTTATTCTAAAGTTTTGTTAAGTAGCGGAGGTTGACAAGATGTTAGCTCTGCATCTCGTTATAAAGCTATAAGAGGTGTTTACGATTTGAAAGGTGATGATAGTAAAATGCAAAGTAGATCAGTTTACGGAGCCAAAGAAAAACGATAAGAAATAATCATTTTTGAACAATAGTTAGATATTTTTTGTTTTAAAACCTTTTAAAAGACATTTATAAAACTTATAAAATGTCTTTAAACGAATCTCAAAACAACAATAAAAACAAAAAACTTTTATTACCAGAAACTTCATTCCTTCTAACTAATGATTTGAAAACAGATAAAAAAATAATTGAATTTTGAACAACACAAGAAATTTATAATTTATCTGTAAAAAAAATAAAGAAAATAAAAAAGTTTTATTTTACACGATGGTCCGCAGTTTAGCAACGGAAATGTACACATGGGTGATTATTTGAATAAAAATCTAAAAGATATTATCATTAGATATAAAAACTTAGTAGGTTATTGTTCAGAAATAGTGATCGGATATGATACTCATGGATTACCTATAGAAAACAAAGTTAAAGAACTCGAAAATTTTGATTCTAAGAATAATGAATATCATATCAGAAAATTGTGCAAGTCTTTTGCTTTAAAACAACAATTAATACAAGAAGAACAAATGAAAAAATTTGGTCTTTTTACAGATTTTAAACAAAAATATTTAACTTTAAATAAAGAATACGAAGCCGAAGAAATTCGTTTTTTTAGTGTTTTAATAAAAAAACAATTAATTTACAGACATTTTAGACCGATTTATTGATCTACAATCTATCAAACAGCTTTAGCTGAAACAGAAATTGAATATTTACCTAAAAAAAATATTTCACTTTATACTTTATTTGAATTAAACGAATCTAATATTCTAAACGATAGATTATATCTTTTAATATGAACAACACAACCTTGAACTTTAACAGAAAATAGATTAATAGCTATTAATACTAATTCAGTATATATAATAGTTGAACATTTAGATAAAAAGATAATTTTTGCTAAAAATAGACTTGAATTTATAGAACAAAAAATAAATATTAAATTTAATATAATTAAAGAATTTTCAGGAAAAGAATTAATTAATAAAACTTATAAATATCTTTATAACAATGAAAAATATGACTCAGGTTATGTTGTAGACGGATCTCAAATATTAAAGTTGGATGAAGGTACTGGTTTAATACATTTAGCGCCGGCTCACGGACCAGAAGATTTTGCGATAGCTAAAAGAGAAAATTTAAATATTTCAATAAATTTAAAAACAAATGGTACATTTAACGATGTTTTTCATGTGATAGAATGAAGAAATAAAAATTATGAAGATGTAAATATATTGGTTTTAAAAGATTTGATTATTAAAAATCTTGTATTAATAAAAGAAAATATAACGCATAATTTCCCACACGATTGAAGAGACAAAAAACCTTTCATTTTTTAATTCAGTTTCTACTATCAGCGCATCGAGGTGCGTACCTTCCATGTCACTCGTAGGAAAAAGCGCCGTCTGGCACACTGCCCCGAGTGTGGTCCCCCGGAAAGCCTTCGCCGCCGGTTTAATTACCCAAGTTTTTGGTGTGTACCCTGTGAAGAATGCGACTGAGTTGACTGATTGTCCAATTGATGGATCGTGTAAATTGCCTGGATGCTTTTGTTCAAAATGAGTTCAATCGTTTAGACTTTGGGCCTGGTTAATCGAATTTCCTTTTAGAACGTGTGATCCCCGGTGGATTGAACGCCAAGGACACTCCACAAATGATCATTTTGACCTTTGATGATCCGATTACTGATCGAACGATTAACATCTACAATATTATTAGGGAAGATGTGGTACTCTCTGACTTTTAGTAAGAGTTATCTCCTGACCACCCCTGACGTTTTGCCCAGAGGGCTTCGGGGCTAGAGAGCATGCAGCAACCTTATCCCCGCTAGCCGGGATAAGGTTGCTGCCTGCTCTCTAGCCCCGAAGACCTCTGGGCAAAACGTCAGTGGGGTGTATTATTTCGGAGGTCACGCATTGATCCTCCCTCCGAGGTCCCGGGACGTCGCCATCCGTTACCTCTCCAAAAATTTCCCCAGAGCAACTCCTTTTGCACACAAGTACGGGGTTTCACCGTACGGGGGCCGAGTGCTCTTGACGTTTTGCCCAGTGTATCGAAAAAACTTTTCCTGGGCACTTATGCCCGAGCAGTGTGCCAGAAGCCGTTTTTTCGTACGAAACACGTCTCGAGAACGCATAAAGTTATCCCAGCGGGAAATTACAGTAAAATTTCGACTCGAATCACTCGGATTACGGTAGAAATAAGTGCAAAGACAAAGTGGATGGACCCTTTCAGGTAGGTAGTCGAACTTTGACCGGAATTTTCTCTATCTTTTTACATTAGTGTGTAGTAAATGCCTTGTGGATTTCTATAACCAAATTTCATAAGGAACACTTTAAAACTTAACCACAGGTTGATTCTTTCTTTTGCGAATACTTAGAAAGTGTAAAAAAAGCTAAGAAAAACAAAAAGCTTAGAAAAGCTTAGAAAGCTTAAAAAAACTTCAAAAGCTTGAAAAAAGCATAAAAGAAGCTTTAAAAAGCATAAAAGTACAGTGATTAGCTGCCAAAGAAAAATTTTATTATTAGCCAGATTGCAAAGCGTTGGCAATTTTTATGGAGCAATTTGATGCAAACCGAAGAAAATCGAGATCACTGTCCCAACAAATGCTAGCAAAAGATCGATTTCTAATCGATTTCTCGAATTTGACAGATTTCGATTTTGACAAAAATCTAATCGATTTTTAATCGATTTCTCGATTTTGATCGATTTTTATTGATTTTTATTGATTATCATTGATTTTAATCGATTTTGACAGATTTCTATGGATTTTAGTCGATCTTTATGGATTTTTATTGGTTTTTTATTGATTTTATTGATTTTTATTGATTTTTATTGATTTTCTTTGATTTTAATCGATTCTGATCGATTTTTATTGATTCTAATCGATTTTTATCGTTTTTTATGGATTTTTATTGGTTTTGATTGATTTCATTCGATTTTTGATCGATTTTGATCGATTTTATTCAGTTTCATTGATTTTAATGGATTCTGATCGATTTTTATTGATTCTAATCGATTTTTATGGATTTTTATCGATTTTAATCGATCTTTATGGATTTCTATTGACTTTTATTGATTTTTATTGATTTCAGTCGGGTTTGATCGATTTTTATTGATTTTTATTGATTTTTATTGATTAGCATTGATTTTAATCGATTTTGATAGATTTCTATTGATTTTAGTCGATCTTTATGGATTTTCAATTCCTTAACTTCTTTTTACCTATTGTAAAGCAAAATATCCGGTTGCCAAACAGTGCCAGCAGGAAAACGAAGATTTTGTAAACGAATTTGTAAACAATTTTGTGGAAATAAACCAATCCGTTAATAACGGATTGGTTAGACGAAGACGTCTCCGAAGACGGAGAAGTATGATAAAAAACACTTTTCTAAGGTCGAATTTTGATGCAGAATCCGAATATGCATCTAAAAATAGGGGTTTCCTGAGAAAAAGTGCCACTTTTCATCAAATCTCATAAATTTGTAGGGGTGATTCACTGAAATGGTCTATAACTCAAGATCTAAGAGTCGAATCAACTAGCGGTTGCTTTTTTATTAGAATCTACACAAGAATTTGACTTTTAGACTTTGTGACATTTTTAAAGCTTTTTTAAAGCTTGCTAAGCTTTTTGGAGCCTGCTGAGTTTTTAGGAGCTTAGAAAGTTCGAAATCGAGCTCGAAAATTAGTTTTTGGCTGATCAGATTTTGATTCTTGAATGCGCAAAAATGCGTCATGAATCAAGCTTTTAAAATCTAAAGAAAGCTTGAAAGCTTGAGCTTGATTTTGGTTTTAATATGATATTTTGAACATCTGGATGTCAGAGTAGAAAGCTAAGGGGTTAGATGGGTATTATTCATGTGCATGAACACACACCACATATGCGATGTTCACTTTTCACTGCTTGGAAAGGGAAGCGGTTGATTGGAATTTGGTTTCAATATAATATTTTTAAGATCTGGATGTCACAGCAGAAGTTTAGGGGTTTAGATGGGTATATGCGTCAACAAACACCACATATGCGATATTCACTCTTCACTACCTGGAAATGAAAGGGTTTAATTGTATTTCAAGTTGTAATATATGATATTTCGCAGATCTGGATGTCACAGCAGAAGTCTAAGGGGTTAGATGGGTAAAAATAAA